TTAGATTATTTTGGCTATTGTTTTGGATCAGTTTCTTAGGGTAGAATGGCAAAGAATTGAGAGGATATTGGAGTGTGGTTTTCAACTTCAAGGATGTGCAGAAAATGCAACAGCCATACTTCATTAAGTAGAGAAAATGTGTAAGGGTATGGTACATTTCCATCACCCATACTTGTGTAAAAGAGTTGGTGATTAGACAATATTTAAACACTAAATCACCTTACTACTCTAGATTAAATCCTAGCCCTTCATTGGAATTTAAGTGATCTAATCTGGAGTGTATATTTGTCACTCACACATTTAAACAAAAACTAGCCGTTGGAGGCCAACCCTTCATTTCTTCTTCTTCCTTGTTCGATGCAGACAACACCCTTTGCTCAAGAGCTCCTTGCTGCCTTCGATCCCTCAACTCCAGGAGTTGGTTAGCTTCCAACATTTTCATTCGAGGTCATGAATAGCCCATCATTCTAGGGTACACCAATGGAACTACTGAAGGAACAGAAGGGGAAGAAACATGATTGCTCCAGAAGGACCGCTCATATAAATTTCCATCAGTTCGTAGCCCCATACTTTTGATTAATGCTAAAAAAGGAACACGACCATGTATCAATATATGTACAAAATCTCTAAGAAGCTAAGTGATGATTATGTGCAATATATTTCCACAATGGAAGAGGAATGCTTTTCCTTAGACCTGACAATTTCTCACACAACCCATAAATACGATACGTAAACGATACGAAAATAACGGGTTTCGGGTCAATACGATAACTAATCGGGTTGTTATAGGATTTAACACTATAAGAGCCACTGTCACTCTTTTCAAGGTATAAGGAAAAAAGAAAATGAAGGAGTTATATAAAGAGAGACTGAGGAAAATGAAAACCAAAAAACTGAAAATCAGACAAAGAAGCTATGATTATGCAGCAAGATTAATTTTCTTTTAGATTGAATAATCTTGATTTTACTGTCACTGTCGGTCAACAGAACCAGGGGTTGGGGAGATTTTAACTTCCATGGAAGATATATGATAAGTAAGAAAAAATAGTTTTATGTGTTGCTAGTAACGAATTTTGTAGAATATGTACAAACCCCAGGCAAGTCAACATCTGTAGGAATAAAAGAGATTTGAAACTGAAAATATAGGACTCGAATTGTATAAGCTCAACTCGATACCGAGTGAGTGTTCATTCATTCATATATATAGGAGTACAATGGATCGGTTTGGTACATTGAAGAGATAAATACAAATAGTTGAAAGTATATCAGATAGGAGAGAGTTGTGTGGCTGTTGAACTGTGGCGCTTCAGTGTTGGAGATGAACTCAAACTCCAGGAGGAAGAGTTCGTTTGAATGTGTGCGGACGTGGATTGAGGAATATTCGAAGTGGGCTTATCACGCCCCCGCAAGCTGACAGGACATTGACGAACTGGCAGCTTGGAAATGAGGAAATTGAAACGGAGAGGTGATAAACCTTTGGTTAGGAAATCTGCAAGTTGATCTGTGCTAGCGACATAACCAACCTCTATTTCTTTGCGAATGACTTTCTCCCGAATATAATGATAATCTACCTCAACATGGCGCATTCTAGCTTGATAAACAGGATTCGAAGCAACTGCGATTGCACTGATATTGTCACACCAGAGACGAGGTGGGGGTAACGGTAAATGTAATTCATGGAAAAGGTTGCGAAACCACTACAAATGCGTAGAAGTGTAAGCTAGTTAACGATACTCAGCTTCGATGCTTGATCTGGAAACACCACGTTGCTTTTTTGAACTCCAGGAAATTAAATTATCCCCGAGAAAGATACAGTGGCCACCAGTGGAACGACAGTCATCCGGATCGTCGGCATAATCGGCGTCAGCAAATGCGGTGAGATGAAGGTTGCTGGGTTTGTAAATTAAGGCGTGATCGTGAGTACCTTTTAAATACCGCAAAATGCGTTTCACTGCAGCCCAGTGTGCAGTAGTTGGAGAGTGCATGAACTGGCACACTTGGTTAACAACATAGGCAATATCAGGGTGAGTAAATAAAAGGTATTGGAGGGCACCAACAACACTGCAGAAGGTAGTTCCATCTAAGAGCGGCTCACCGTCATATAAACTCACACGTCGACCATTAAAGACTGGCATGGAGAGGGGCTTGGGGTTAATCATGTTGGTTTTCTTAAGAAGGTCTATAATGTACTTGGACTGAGTGAGATACATGGCAGAAGGCGTTTGTGAAACCTCCATGCCCAAAAAGTAATGTAACGGCCCAAGATCTTTCATTGCAAATTGATGTCCAAGCTGTTTGATGAACTGAGAAAACTGAGCACCATTGTTACCCGTGATTAAAATATCGTAGACATAAATTAAGAGATAAATGATGGTAGACCCATCAAAATATGTAAAAAGAGAGGAGTCGGCTTATGAAGATATGAATCCCAAGTCTTCAAGTTTGTGGGAGAAACATTGATACCAAGCACGGGGTGCTTGTTTCAAGCCATATAAAGATTTTCGAAGATGGCACACATGAGAGGGGAATTGAGGATCAATAAACCCCACAGGCTGGCACATGTAAACTTCCTCATTTAAAGTCCCATGAAGAAAAGCATTCTGAACATCAAGTTGACGAATAGGCCACTGAAAGTGAAGGGAAATGGAGAGAACTAACCGAATAGTGGCGTGAGTAACAATAGGACTAAAAGTCTCCCCAAAGTCAATTCCCTCTTGCTGATGAAAGCCGTTGGCAACAAGGCGCGCTTTGAAATGCTCAATAGAACCATCGGACCGCTTTTTGATACGATAGACCCATTTATTTGGTAACACATTCATTAAAGGCTTGTAGGGAACCAAAGTCCACATCCCTGTGCATTGTAAAGCGTTGAATTCATCTGCCATGGCATGGCGCCACTGTGGAATTTTATTTGCCTATGAGAAACAAGAGGGCTCAACCAAAGAACTGTTAACATCAGTGATGCAAGCATATCTAGGATTAGGTTTACGAATTCCTTGTTGACCACGCGTGATCATGCCATGAGTGGAGTGTGGAGTATGTGAGGACACGTTAGTTGTTCCAGTATTCAAGGGATGAGGTGGAGTGATGGTTTGGGAATGAGAGTTTAGGGTAGAGGGAGGTAAGGTAGGAGTAGGATTGGAAGCAGAAGGCAGTGGATGGGATAAGGTGGCAGGGATATAGGGTAAAATATGTGGTGGGGTACGAGTAGGAGTAGGAGGGATAGGGTTAGGTGGGATAAAGGGAAATGGGTCAATGTCCAGGACATGGTCTGAGGCAGCGGTGGAGGATAATAGTGGAGTAGTAAGTTCTTGATATGGAAAACACTTTTCATTAAATACAACATGACGAGACATGAAAAACTTTCCTATAGAAGGATCAAAACATTTGTAACCTTGATAATTTAAAGAGTAACCTAAGAAAATGCATTGTTTGGATCGAAATTGGAGTTTATGAGTAGTGTATGGACGTAAATATGGAAAGCAAGCACAACCAAAGACTTTGAGAAAATCATATTGTGGCGATTTAGAAAATAATTTTTGGAAGGGAGAGATGCCATTTAAAATTTTTGTTGGAAGATGATTAATGATATGAAAAGCATCATCCCAGAAAGTTTGGGGAAGAAAAGCATGAACAAGTAGCGTTAAACCAGTTTCGACAATATGTCGATGTTTTCTCTCCGCAAGACCATTTTGCTCAGGATGATGTGGACAACTAAGACGATGGTGAATGCCATTGTTTAAAAAAAAATTGCTTAAAAGAGGAATTGAAAAACTCTCCGCCGCCATCAGATTGGAAAAATTTAATTCTAGTGTCAAACATGTTTTCAACTTGCTTTTTAAACGCCACAAAGGTGTGAAAAACCTCAGATTTTAACTTTAAGGGATAGAGCCATGAATAACGAGAAAAATCATCCACAAAGAAAACATAATACTTGTAACAATTAATGGAATAAAAAGGAGAAATCCATACATCTGAATGTATTAATTCAAGAGGAAAAGATGACACTGAGGAAGACAAATTGAAAGGCAACTTATGACTTTTGCCCAAAGGACATGATGAACAAAAATCATAACTGGCAGTACCAGTTAATGGTAATTTATTTTTAGAAATTAAATGACGTAAAACCGAAAAAGCTGGGTGACCTAGCCTAGAATGCCAAATGGCATCCGACACTCTAACACCAATGAATGCAAAGACTCCATTGCTGACCACAAAAGAACTTGAAAAAGGATAAAAGCCATTTCTACTCCGGCCTTGTAAAAGCGTCCTCCCCGTTTGAAGGTCCTGGACACGGTAGGAGGTTGGATATAATGTTAGTGAACAATTATTATCTTTGGTAAATTGATTAATGGAGATAACATTAGTAGAGGCATTAGGGCAGTGTAGGGAGTTAGGTAGAGTAAAAGAATGGTGGGGTGTTTGAATAGAGGAAGTACCAACGTGAGAAATGTGCAAACCTGATCCATCAACCACTCCATGGACATTATCAGAACCAATGTATGGGCGGGGATTGGAAACTTGTTTCAAATCATTGGTGACGTGAGCATTGGCTCCAGAGTCAAAGAGCCAGTTCTGAGGGCCATATGACGTAGCAGAAGCTGGAGGAGGTGCAGCAGCAGCATATGCTTGGAGACGAGGAGCAGGGACACGTCCTTCATAGGCCATATTCACCGTTCACGTAAGCAAGTCCATGCAGAATATGAACTTGTCTTACCAATGAGAGAAGCAAGAACAGTAGGATGAACGGAACTATTGATCCACGAAAGCACCATGGCATCTTGCTGAATCCATGCATCAAAGGCAGGATTAACGTCATCAGTAAGTGCACCTTTATCATCCTGCAAGAAGGCAGGAGGACAGGTGTTGGTTCCATCGACAAAAGACACCAGATTCCGGCTTCGAAGCAAGGGCAACATCTGAGCATGCCATAAGGGATAGTTGGTACGGTCCAACTTTATAGTGAGAAAGTTGGAAGCATTAGGAAGAGAGGAGAGAACAGTGGGGTTGGAGGGACTAGAACTGGACGCCATTGAAAAAAAATTGAAGCTTTTGGTCGTTAGACTTTCAGCTCTGAGATACCATAAAAGAGATTTGAAACTGAAAATATAGGACTCAAATTGTATAAGCTCAACTCGATACCGAGTGAGTGTTCATTCATTCATATATATAGGGGTACAATGGATCAGTTTGGTACATTGAAGAGATAAATACAAATAGTTGAAAGTATATCAGATAGGAGAGAGTTGTGTGGCTGTTGGACTGTGGCGCTTCAGTGTTGGAGATGAACTCAAACTCCAGGAGGAAGAGTCCGTTTGAATGTGTGCGGACGTGGATTGAGGAATATCCGAAGTGGGCTTATCAAGGAATACGTTTGCAAAATCTTCCATGGTACTCTTGAATATGAATACCCTGAAATTGAAAGAAAAAAAAAAAAAAAAAAAAAAAAAAAAAAAAAAAAAAAAAAAAAAAAAAAAAAAAAACTTATCCTGCTATAATAATCTATAGAAAGAACGATAACCAATCATTAGCTAATACAGGAGAATGAAGCTGTTCAATGAAACTTACCTGGCTGTATCTTACACGCATCACCGCCTCAAAACCTTTATCGTTGTAGAGCTTTGAGAATCAGAGACAGTTGAGAAGGGGTAATAATAGTAAAACTGAAATCATAACCCAAACAGTTAGACGACTATGTGTAAATGATCTATAGTTACAAATGGCAGATGCTTCTCAAATATGATATCACAGATTTATTTTAGATGGTGGATATGTAGATTAGAAATAACAAAAAGGTCAAAAAAATTAGAAAATTCATAAGAGAAAACCCTCAACCAAAATGATACCAGGTTGAAATTTGATGCCAGATGTATGGGAAGTGATAGAAGCAAATTCAGTAGTACCTGCCCTCCAGTTGTTCTTGGTATGACAGAGACAGAAGCAATGTCTATGTATGAGTCTGACTGGGTAGTGATAAATAAGTCGACACAAACCTGGAACATTTTATGAAAAAATAAATTGGCCGAAATAAATTATGCTTAACTGTCAATTACCACTAATAATCTGTCAGCTTAGAAGTGTCATCAATATGTTAACTGATCATCATGGGAAAGAGTGTAAAAGGTTTACCTGATATTCAGCAAATTCAACTGCCATTGTCTTTAAAGTTTTGTCCGCTGGTTGGACTAATTTATGGGCCACCTGAAATGCGGTTAAAGTTTAAACAAACAAAACATAAGGGTGTGTCTAAGGTGCAGACAGACGGTGCGGACAGATGGTGCGGACAGAAATCGGACGGAGGAGATGAGCCAAGTGTAGGCGGTGGAACCGAGTGTTTGAGTGTTTCTCATTACCTGTAAAATTCGCGGGTAAAACTTAGGAAATTTTCTGGAAAAGGAAGGGGAAGGAAGCTGGCGGTACATCAGGGGAAGAGGAAGGGAGTTGACTGAGAACCACACTGATCCGCTCTACGTCGGCTCGCTCACGGCTCTTTTTTTATTATCGTAGATTAAGCTGCTTTGCAATTTTGGGGTTTATATAGTGTTTTCGTGCCAATTTTGATTATTGGGTATTGTTCCTGAATCTTAATTGTCCACCTATAAATAGTTACACTTTGAATAGGGATTTTCATACCAGGTTTTCGTTCAGTTTATAGAGAGAATTTGTGACACGCCCAACCCTGATATTCTCCAAACACTAGGGTAGACACGTGCTGGCCGACACCCGAAGGTGACGAAACCATATTAGAATGCATGAGAACAAGAAATAAATAAGACTTATAAATTTAAATACAATGCTTATGCAATTGAGGAGCATGTTCAGAGCATACAATTAATCTAAAACAAGTAAGGGAAGAATATAAAATTGAATGAATAAAAGAATAGGTCCTACACCGAGAGGACTCGAAGATGCCCATGTGGAAGTGCCTTAACGCCGGGATTGTACACCTCGATTCTAAGTCCTGAGGAGGGTGCAAAACAAAACATGAGTAGACCAAGTTGATATATATAATACTGAAACAGTTAATCAACATACTAACCCCAAAAGTTTATGAAAACTCAATAGTATAATATTTAATAGGTTTTCCGAAAACCCTAGCATGCCATAAAACTTCTCATGAAACATACATTGTATAATGTGCTAAATAGTGGTATCATGTAATAGTATCTCACGGTCGAAGCCACCAACCTACGCCCGGCAAAAGCCAATATAAACATCTCCAGGCCGAAGCCACCAACTTACGCCCGATAAAAGTCAATATACGAGTATCATCGCCCTTAGGCACCTACGCCCGGTCGAAGCCAATATAAGTATCATTACCCGTAGGCACCAACCTACTCTCGGCCAAAGCCAATATAAGTATCATCGCCCATAGGCAGAACAATGACCACTAGATACACACAAAAACATTGAATATATTCTTTCCAACATAAAAAAAAAAAAAAAAAATATATATATATATATATATATATATATATATATATATATATCTCAAAGACATCTTCATAGCATATAGTCATCCATCATATATACTATAAAGAAGTGTAAAAACATGTTCATAAGCACTATATAGTCATCCATCATATATACTACAAAGAACATAAGTTCGATAAAATATGGTATTCCTAAATATTCTCAGTAAGCATGATAATCATAAAGTGTAAATCTATAAAACATTTCATAAAACGTAACCATTAAATCATGTTTTTCATGTATGCATTTCTACTAATCAAACATGCATTTTAGAAGGGGTCCACTCACAGATACTTTGCCATCGAAGAGCCACGTAAACTAGCAAAGACAGAATCGCCATATTAATGCACCTTAGCACATAAAGGGCCCAATTAATAACACTATATTCAAACGATTGAATTTCAGGAAACGGATGTCATAAACGGATTTAGAACGTTGAAAAACATAAAAGAGGACCTCAGGCACCCCCACGCGCCGCAGTACGCGCCTTCACACGCCAGGAAAAGTCGTCGGCGCCACTGTGGACATTGGCACATGTGCTCCACACGCTGGCCAAGGTATGCCCTCACGCGCAGGTTCACGTGCGGCCAAGGGTTCTGGGATCCAACTGTGTTGGGTCGAATCCGAGTCGGATCTGGGCTTGGGCTTCCTTTGGGTTTAGGCCTAGGTTCTCTGAGCTGAAGGCTCATTTCACACAACCCGAAGGCCTTGGTTCAAGAGGTTGGGCCTAGTGTTCTAAGGCCCAAAAGCCTGGGTTCACTAGGTCGAAAGCCCAAGTCAACTCGGCCCAAAGGCCTGGTTTTGGGTGGGTTCAAAAGGCTTTTGGGTTTCATAAATGGGCCGATTTCACTGCCCAACGACCCGGTTGGGGTTTGGGTTTCCAGATCCGTTTAAGGGTCTCAGGTTGGATTTGACCCATTTCGTTGAAACCACACCCTAGCCTACGATTTACCTATGAAATTGAAGGTAGAGGTGAGAGGGAGAGATTTGTACCTTCGACAAGTCGTGGGGTGGTCAGAGTCGGCCGGATTTTGAGGTTGAGGAGGTGGTCGAGAGGTTGAGGAGGTGGTCGAGGGTAGTGTTTCACGGTGTTGTCTCCATCGTCATTCAACTCCAAAAGGGTGTGTGTGTGGGTGTTAGTCAATCGGGGAGAGGGAGAGAGATTCGAGAATGAAAAAAGGAGAGTGAGCTTGGGGAAAAAGAAGAGAGGGATCCAAGAGTTGTGTGGCGAAAATGTGGCAACCATAGACAAGAGGAGGGGAAAACCGAGGAACCAAAAAGGGAAGGGGGGCCCACAAGGCACACCATTTAACACCAAATAAAACAATATTTTAAACCAAAACCCACAACCAAAGGAAATTACAACCCTGCCCCTTTCGTTCCGTAAAACCTGTAAACTTAAACGGGACGGGTTGTCACAATTTGAGTGAGAACCCTGAAGAAGAAAGAAATAGGTTCAAGTTTGCAGAGGAAAGCTTAAGGGTAAGATCTTTCATTTTTGGTGTCTTGAGTAATTCTTTTCAATTTGATTTACCATGTTTGTATTCTCTCTTTGGATCTGAAAACAAACCCTTTTAGTACCTATTTCATGTTTTTATCATCCTGTGAGAAGCTATGGAAAATCAAAAGAATCTAAGTTTCAAAGTGTTCGTAATTTTCTAGGTGCAGATTTCAGATCTTTCAATTTCGTAGTGCCTTCTTTCGTCCCTATTTTCTTTCACTACAAAGCTTATTTTCAAATTCTTTTTCCGTAGAATTGAAGATGGATTCAAAAGCTTTAAGTCGAGTATTTATCCGAAGATTTTCAGTGAGATTTGATGGGTCAAACCCATGTTAAAAAACGTGCCTTTGAATCCGTGTAAAACTCGGGTGCAGTTGTTCTACACATACTTGCTGTTTTAACTCATGATTTCTCTCACTTCGAGGCTCGATTTTTAACAAATTTTATATCGTTGGAAAGATGGTTCTTCAAGCTTTCAAACCAGTATAAACTCATAAATTTTCATCGATATTTGATTAGGCAAAAAATTGCTCGTTTTGTGTCCACAAAACTAGAACAAACTTTAGCTTTTTGCAGTTTCCTTTTGTTAGGGAAGTTGAACAGTGATTTTATCTTACAATATTCTAAATGTTTGGTTTGTTTGTCATGTCCTTTTACTCTGACATTCGGCTTTAGAATCGACAGTGCCTTAGAGCTCGGGATAGCTAAGGAAAGAGATTTAAGATTGCCGGGAGTCAAGGTTGGGGATTTAGAGATTAATAATTAAGTAGAACTATATAAGTTAATTATTCACTTACAAGTTTGTATGCTTATGTTTTTATGATTGATTAAGTGATTTTCTTCCCCAATATTATTGAATCATGAATTTGATATCCTTGATTAGTATCATTGTGATGGTGTTTATGAAGTTGATTATTTAACTCTTGGTGTTGGCATATGATTTCTCTATTATAAATAAATACTGGATTGCATTACATGTTGGAGTGAAGATGTTTGCGAATATATTCAAGGCTTGGGTTATGGAATGGAAATATCTTTTGTGAGGTTGAGTTCAACTCTTGTAAGGACGAATCAGGAGGAAAATTTGAATTTAGGAATGGTTTGAGTTGTAGTTTTATTTTATTTTATTTTTTTGTCACACCATTAAATGAAGAAGGAAAAAAGAAAGAAACATCGGGGTGTGACAAAATGCCTTCTGCTATTTTGTGAGTTTGCATTAGCTAATGATGTTAAACCAATCAACAAGGTTTATAATTTTAAAAAGAGGTTATATTAGCTTCAAGATCCTGCAAAGAAAGCAAACAAAAATTATTGTTTAATTCCTCAGTAAGCTTTTGATTTATGTGAATTCTTTTACAATTCTTACAAAAGTCTTACAAATTTCTTCGTTAGTATTGTGATATATTAACATAACGATATGATCATTCATATGATGTAGGTTTATGAAGACTTGTTGACAGGTTGTGTTTAAGTTTTATATTATTGTCTGCTAGACTGCTATTAAATGTATAGCTCGAGTTATGGATCAGTTGTGAGCTAAAAGTAAAAGCCTTTTGCAATTTGTGAATTTGTTTAGGTAATAATGTTAAACCAACCAACAAGTTCATGCATGTCTAAAAAGAGGTTATATTAGTTTCAAGGTCCTGCAAAGAAAGGTAACAAAAATTCTTGGTTAATTCTTCAGTGAGCTTTTGATTTATGTGAATTCTTTTGCAATTCTTACAAAATCTTACAAATTTCTTTGTTAGTATTGTGATATATTAACATAACGGTATGATCATTCATATGATGTAGGTTTATGAAGACTTGTTGACAGGTTGTGTTTAGGTTGTATATTATTTTCTGCTTGACTGCTATTAAATGTATTGCTCAAGTTATGGATCAGTTGCTAGTTAAAAGTAAAAGCCTTTTACTATTTGTGAATTTGCATTAGCTAATGATGTTACCAACCAACTAGTTTCATACTTGTCTAAAAAAGAGGTTGTACTAGCTTCAAGGTCCTGCAAAGAAAGCTAACAAAAATTCGTGGTTAATACCTCAGGGGCTTTTGATTTATGTGAATTCTTTTGCAATTTTGAAAGCTAACAAAAATTCGTGGTTAATACAGGGGCTTTTGATTTATGTGAATTCTTTTGCAATTCTTACAAAATCTTACAAAATTTCTTGGTTAGTATTGTGATTTGTTAACTTAACGGTATGATCATTCATGTGATGTAGGTTTATGAAGACTTGTTGACAGTTTGTGTTTAGGTTTTATATTATTGTCTGCTTCACTGCCCTTGAATGTATTGCTCGAGTTATGAATTAGTTGCTAGCTAAAAGTAAAAGCCCTTTGCTATTTGTGAATTTGGATTAGCTAATGATGTTACGAAGCAACAAGTTTCATACTTGTCTAAAAAGAAGTTATTTTAGCTTTAATGTCTTGGAAAGAAAGCTAACAAAAATTCTTGGTTAATTGCTCAGAGAGCTTTTGATTTATGTGAAATCTTTTGCAATTCTTACAAAATTTCTTGGTT